TACAACTAACCTAGACCTTTGTTATAAATTCAGTAGGAATGCTGTCGCTCATTGCTGCCGCTCTGATCTCAACTCCTTTTAGTCCTTGCTCTCTGAAGTTTGGCAGGTAAACGAAGAACATTTGTCGTAAAAGCCAGCTTTCCCTCTGTACGCAGGGTGTGTCTGTGCAGAAGCCAAACCTAAGGCAAATAACTTCACAAATCACCTTTCTGACAGGTTTGAGAATACTTCTCATCTTTTTTCCCTACCTGTAGGTGCCTCAGGGGAAACATATTCTGCTGAAATTGACTCTCCCTTCCAGGTGTGCCTTTACATGCCACGTTTGCTGCCTGTGTCTCTTGCCACAGACCTCAAATCCCGGTAAGTCTTGTCTTCTCTCTTACCATCAGATTGGCATTTTATGCATTAAATGAAAGTATTCACAAGTTCAGACTTTGTTGAGTATGTTGAAAGCCTGCATACAGTATAAAATAAAGTATATGTTAGACTATAGACTATAAACATTACCTTTAGAGAATGATAAATAATCAGATGATATTTTATACAAATACACCAGATCATTGCTGCATAATACAGAATTGATGGGAAACTTGATGCTTAGTGTCTTAGAGAGGTGTGGGCAATGTCATGAGCCTTTCTGTACTGTCAAGAAAACTTCAAATGTAGTGTTGAAATGGACAGTATGAAATTGTGTATTAGATGAATACTTATTTTTCAGAGTCATGTAACTTGTGACCATTTTAGAAAAGGTTCAGACTCTATGGAAAAACCACCTATATCTTCAAAATGTGTAAATAAAGTATTAAGTTTTCGGGAAAACATGGCGTCTGCTATAATTGAAAGAAAATTAAACTTTACAGCTTTGCATTCTACATTCCTCACTGTGATGCAGTATAGGCGGGTATCGTTGAAACATCTAATGATTCCAGATGTAGTGTGGAGGAATAAGTATTACACAAATAAGGAAAAGTTAAATGTAAGATTTCTATGAGAATTGGCATTTCAGATACATAGAATTTTCCATTTCGTTGAAACATATCAGAAAAACAAGGACAAATATGAAAATATTTATAACTTTATATGTGCTATAAATTACAGTGTAGTTTTCAGAAGGCAGGGGCAGAAGCAGGAATGAGGAGCATGCGTTTCCTGTGTACAGACTGCTTACAAACACTATTTCCACCCGTGGATCTTAGGAGCTGGGCAGTTTGGCCTTATATGCACCTCCTATCATCTCTTTCACCTAAATTGTTCTGACCAAAAAGAAAGAAAACTGACAAGATGTTGAACGGTTTGCAGCCTTCAAGTGAGGGCAGGTGAGGTCATATTAATGACTAGTCAGTAAATTAAAATCATTTAGCAAAGCCAGAAAGTTAGTTACTGTCAGCTGAATATATTTTACTGTTTGTTGCAACACAATGCATTTTAAGGCCAGTATCATCTAACAGCCATTCATGAAGCAACTACCAAAATGCATCCAATACCTTTGTAAATACATTGGCATGCTTTTCATCCAAAGAAGGGATAATATTATATTTATTAGTCCCAATGACTTTTACACATGTAACTCAAACTCACCAATGAATTTTGCAAGAAAAAAATCTCATGTAGCCCACAAGACTTCTCAAGTGTCGGTTCTGCTAAACCAACCAGAAAAGCAGTGTCCTGATTGAATTTATAGCCTAACAAAGGAAGGGTGTGAATGAGATCACCACAACCTCTGAAATTATGTTGATATGTGCAGCTGTGGGTTTTATAATGCCTGGGTAGGTGACTTCCAATAATAAAATGTCTAAAGGTTGCCAGACTTAATATAACGCTCGTCTAGTTTGGGGCTTACATTACCTCAAATACGAAACAGAAGACCAGGAGGAAGAATAGAAGTGAGCGACTTATGGAAATGAAGGGGGGAATAATAAGGTCCATGCTTAAGGGCACTGAAGCCACTTGCAGAGTTTCTCAAGCTCAGTGCTGAGGGGATTTTGGGCAGGATAATTCTTTGGTGTGTGCTGTGGGGGGTGTGTGTGTGTGTGTGTGTGTCAGGGATTGTCCTGTGCATTGTAAGATGTTTATTTAGCAGTATCCCTGGCCTCTACCCACTAGACGCCAGTAGTACCCTGATCCCCTATGTAGCAACCAAAAATGTCTGTAAAAATGTGCTCTGTTGAGAACCACTGCAGTACTAGGAAGCAGGAAAGCTGATATGTGCCTAAGTGTTTTCAGGGAAGTTACAGGGATCAGCCACAATCCATCTTCACTGATACATTTCACGATGTAGAATTGAGTGAGGAGATATACACTAGGAACTACTTGGTAACAGGAAGGCCAAGAGTCCATTTGCAAGGTGACATAGAGAAGTGAGAAAATCAGGGGTGGTTTAGGTCCCTTTACCACACTTTATTGGACCATTTTAGGAAGAATATTTTTAGCAGCCTGAATTAACCAGAATTAGCTTACCTCTTCATTGCCTTGTTCCGCAGGCATTTCAAACAAGCGGACGTAGCTGAAGTAAGAGATTTTAAACCCCAGTGTTGGCATTTCTTTGGGGGCCACTCCCATTACTTCAGCAGAGGAAATAGAAGCCAGGCATCAAAGCCCATTTTCCAGCCATCACTCCACTAGGCCCTGCAGAACCACATAGTGTAAATACTTCAGGACACAAGTCAGTTCTTCTGACCCAAAAGATGTCAATCCTTCACAAGATGTGAGTCAGAATCGGATTGTTTCTCATAAGATAGTCTTAAGAACAGTTCTAAAAAGAGAAAAGGACCTAGAATAAATGACCCCCTTTAGACTTTTTTCCAGCTATGATATAAGAAATTTCAAGACTTGATAAAGGGATTAATCTATAGTCCCCCTTATCTCCCAGGTGCTGCTTATTATTTAAATCTTCAGGTTCAAAAACAGCCCTATTTCCACACTGGGGCTATGGAAGATTTAAAAAAAAAAAAAAAAGGAGATGGGAAGGAAGACACAGAATATAAGAGCAAAAAGTGCAGACAAGGCTGTGGGGAATAAGCAGGAAAAAGGTGAGCACCAGGGAGCACCCAGGATGAGCACTCGAGACAATGATCTTGAAACTGAAGTAAAAGCAGCCCCAATGGGGAGGAGTGACTCCGGGGCACAGTCATCCAAAGCCTTCAAGTAAGGGCAGGTGAGGTGACGTCAGCGGAATAGTCAGTAATTTAAAATCAAGAGAGTGCTGTGCACGAGATTAGTGCCAAAGTTAGATACTGACATATTTTAACACAAGAAAGGCAAATTATTATGAATTCAAGTCAATAAATGTTTTTGATATTATTCTAAGTACTTCTGGAAAGTAAAAAGATGAATCCTTGCTTTAATGTGTTTACAATCTGTTAGGGAGGTGTAGACAAGGTCATAATCTTTTTTTTTTTTTTTTTTTTTAAGAAAGCATTGCATTTCCACTCCTAGGTATCTACCCAAAGAAATGAAAACATTATGTCCATACAAAAACTTGTATATGAATTATTCATAATAGCAAAAAAGTGGAAACAACCCAAAAGTCCATCAACTGGTGAATAAACAAAATGTTGTGTATCCATACAATAGAATATGATTCAGCCATAAAAAGGAATGAAGTACTAATACACGTTACAACATGGATGAACCTTGAAAACATTATGTTAAGTGAAAGAAGCCAGATACAAAAGACCACATATTATATGATTCTACTCATCTGAAAGTACAGAATAGGGAAGCCCATAGAGACAGAAAGTAGATTAGTTGTTGCTTAAGGTTTGGGGAGGGAGTAGATGGGGGATGATAGCTAAAGGGTGTGGGGTTTATTTTTGGAGTGACAAAATGTTCTATAATTAGATAGTGATGATGGTTCCACAAGTCTGTGGATATATTAAAAACTACAGGATTTTACACTTTACAGGTAAATTTTATAGTATGTGAATTGTATCTCAATACAGCTATTATTCAAAAAAAAGCATGTAGAAATTGTTGAATTGGTATACGTTCTGCAGTGTATAGTGTCAATGACAACACCAAAACATAAACTACAAAAAAAAAAAAAAAAAAGAAAGCAAAACGTGCTTTATTCCCTAAGAAGTGAGAATAGCTGTGGAGATAAGAGTACCTCCACTCAGAGAGATGAGAAATTTCACAGGAGAGACTTCAGGTTAGAAAGAAGGAAAATTATCTTTTACTATTTTCTCCCTAAAAGCTTATTAACAATATAAAAAGTGTCTATTTTAATGGGAAATCAGTTTTGGATATTGAGGGGCTACAAAAAGAAGCTCCTCACTGAGTAAACGGTGCAGGAATGGTTCCAGTTAAGACAGAGCTCAGTGGAGGGTATTCCCACCTACCTGCTCTGCTTACCCTCAAGCATCACAGCCTGAAGCTGCACGCAGTGTGTAAGCCGGGGACCACGGCATCACACATGCATTCAAGAAAGCAGCCGCACAGACTAGGTTGTCAGAAGAAGAGCAGCAGCAGCACTCATCTTCACAGTGTGGTCCTGGGTGTTACGTAGGACAATGGTTCTCAAAGTTGAGCATGTATCAGACTCACCTGGAGGGCTTGGAAAAGCACCAAGAGCTGAGTCCCATCCCCAGGATGTCTATATCAGTACGTCCTGGGCTGAGGCCTGGAAATTTGCATTTCTAACAAGTTTCCAGGTGATACCAATACTGCTGGTCTGGTAGGGTGACCAGCCTTCTAGGTTTGCCCAGGATGGATCAGGTTCCTGGAACCTAGGGCTTTCAGTGCTAAAACAGAAAAAGTCCCAAGCAAACCCAGACGAGTTGATCACCTTATTAAGTCTGGAGACCACTCTGAGAACCAATGTTTAAAGAGATAATATCAAAAAGCCTTGATGGAAATTTGAATTTGAAGGGGGAGAGAAGAAGGAACAGTATGACCCTCAGGATTCTGGCCTGAGCAGGTAGGTCCATGGTGATGCCAGTGGATCCCAAACTTTGTTGCACATTGCAATCATCTGGGATCTTTAAAAAGATCGATGCTGAATGCTCGCTTCAGCAGCACATATACTAAAATTGGAACGATACAGAAAAGATTAACATGGCTCCTGCACGAAGATGACACACAAGTTTGTGAAACGCTCCGTATTAAAATAATAATAATAATAAAAATATGTAAAAATGCTGGTAACACTGAATGAGGGTGAAGTGTGCACAGCTTGATGAAGACAAATGATTTCACTAAAATGTGCACAAGAGAAAAGGATCTTTTGGTGATTGCTATGGCACATATAATTTTGAAACAAGAGCAACCAAAAAATATATTTGTTGGTATATATGTATGTACGTAGGCATATATGCATATAGGTATGAATATGTATGTATGTGTGTATGAATAGGTGTATGCATATGTATATGCATGTATATAACTGTATTCACATATATTCATAAATACATAATAAAGCACATAGGAGGCACAATTACAGATACTTCTTAGACATAATCGAACACCTCCAGGGATTGGTTTTCTGGGTTTGAAGGATTAGGATCATAGTCTCGTGGGACATCTCAGTCAATTGGCATAATAAAGTTTATGTTCTATGTCCTAGTTTGGTGAGTACTGTCTGATGTCTTAAAAGCTTGTGAGCGGCCATCTAAGATACAACTATTAGTCTCTACTCAACCAGAGCAAAAAAAAGAGAAGAAGGAAACCAAGGGCTCAAAGAAGAAACTAGTCTACAGGACTAATAATTTACACAAACCACAGTCTCATCTACCCTGAGACTGGAAGAACTAGATGGTGCCCGGCTACTACTACAATAGATGGACCCTGATAGAATGGAAGAAAAATGTGGAACAGAATCTCAAATTCCTAAAAAAAATCAGATTTACTGGACCGGTTGAGACTGGAGGATTCCCCGAGACTATTGACCTGAGATACTTTTTAAATCTTGAACCTAAACTAGCCCCTAAGGTCAACTTTTGGTTCAGCTCACAAAATAAACAATATCACCCATGAGTACTGTGCTCCTTTAAAAAGTCATCTATACGAGACCAAAAGATCAACAATTACTTTAAAACAAAAATGAGAATGTAAGGGGGCAGGGAAATGAGATTAATGGAAACAGAACAACCAGAACAGAAATAATGAGAATGTTCATGCATTGTGAGGAATGTAACCAATGTTACTGAACAATTTGTGCAGAACTTGTTGAATGAAAACCTAAAATGTTGTGTAAACCTTCTCTGAAAACACAATAAACTATTATTAAAAAAAAAAAAAAAAAAGACTGATGCTGGGCCCCACCCCCAGATATTATAACTTAGTTGGTATGGAGTGTCACCTGGGCAGTAGGAGTATTAACAGCTCCCTAGGTGATTCTAATATGGTGCAAAGTTTGGTGACAGTGCGGTTATGCCCTTCTCTTAGAATGGAATCCAGGAAGAGAGTAGGCATGTGGGGGCAAATTGATGAGTTTTAGGTGTCTATGGGAGAACCCTGGTGGCGCAGTGGTTAAGAGATCAGCTGCTAACCAAAAGGTCAGCAGTTCAAATCTACCAGCTGCTCCTTGGAAACCCTACGGGGAAGTTCTACTCTGTTCTACAGGATCACTGTGAGTTGGACTCGACAGCAATGGGTTTGGTTTTTTTTATGGTTTTTAGGTGTCTACGAGTGAACTATCAATGATTCTCAACCCAGGCTACATATTAGACTCCCCTGGGGAGCTCTTTAAACATGTTGGTACCTGGGCCCCACCCCCAGAGATTCTGATTTAATTGGTCTAGGTTAGGCCTGAGCAATGGTAGTTAAAAAAATCTCCCCAGGGGATCCTAAGGTGCAGCCAGAATTGTGACCAACTGATATACGAGGAGGTACTCAGCAGACAGTAGCATTATTGATAAGCAGTATGATTCTGTCCTTCATTTTCTCACTGAAAAACTAGTGATAATCCATAACCAGCTATTAATAAGAGAATGTGTCTATTCTCATCCAGTTTGGGATCTTCTAGCTCCTCCTGTTCCTCTTCCTAGGGACAGGTCATTCTTGATCCCCTGGTTGACTTATGCTAGGTCACTTCTTTGTACCATGACCTTTATTATTGCTTGAAGAAAATTCTCAAACGGACTGAGAAAATTCTCAGAAATTTATTTTTATCATAAAAATGTGACGAAATATGATACCAGGGAAGCTTTGTGCTCCCACCCCCCCAAACACTCTGGAAAGGCATTTCAGTTGCTACTTGACTTTTTCAACCAGCATTGCAATCCTGCCTCCTTTCTCTCTAAATCTGAGTGCTTGGAATTCTGCAATCCTCATCTCTCACGGTTCCAATGCTTAGAGTCCCTCCATGGATTGTAGCCCATGGTCCACCGCTGGACACAAGTCTTTCCATTTGGAATCTGCCCTGTGAATGGATTCCCTACTGGGATGCCATGGTGTTTCCTGTGTAGTAATTTTCTTACCCTCAGTACTCTACAGCTAGATCATTTCAAACTCTGAACTGTAGGCTATTCACATAGATCATGATCTCACTGAGTTCAGTTTCTTTAGTTCTGTTGTTGTGGTTGTTGTGTGTTGTGGAGTCAATTCTGATTCATAGCGACCCTATATGACAGAGTAGAAATGCCCCATAAGGTTTCCTAGACTATAATCTTTATGGGACCCCAGAGCTGCTGATGGGTTCGAATCACCAACCTTTCAGTTTACAGTCAAGTGCTTAACCATTGTACCACCTGGGCTCCTTGTTTGGTTATAGAAAATAATATTTTTGAATTTTGCTTACATTGCCCATTCTTATTAAAAGGATAACCATGTTGCCAATCTTTCTGCATTCCTGGACGGAATGAAGCAGAGCAGGTAGGATTTCTGAACCTAGGATAACCTCAGGACTGGGGATTTCAGGTTATCAAACATGTAGTTGGGTAACTGACCAGAAGTCAACTGACCTGGCTCTGAGGGTAAGGCAGCAAGGAAGCACCACCTAGAAAAAGTGCTTGGTCTGGGTGACCGATACAGAACAGACCTTCCTGAGGCTCCACTCTGGATTCTAGTGTAGGTCTTCACAAGGTTTTATATAAAGTCATTAGTCCAAAATTATAGATAGCCAGACTTCCATGACAGATAGAGATCATGTTCAAATGGAGACGATGCAGGGGTACCGCTCAGTGTGTCATTTTCTTAGAACATCGGACTTCAGAAATGAACAATGGACTATATAAAGAGCTTGGATCATGGCTTGGGAAATTGCTAAAATCAGGCATTTCAAATCATCCTAAAAGACTTCTAGAGACACAGGCATTTGATTTAGGAGACTGGCCTTCAAGGCAAACCAGAAGAGGGTTTAGAGAGCAGGAAATGGTATACTAAGGTTGGAGTGCAGGAAATGTGGGATTAGAGGGTTGAAGAACATGGGATTAGTAGGATAAACAAACAATTCATTAGGAAAAGCCTTGGAAAAGAGAATGTCAAAAATTACTCTGCCTATAAATATATAAAAAATATTTTTACACTCATTACTATTCAAATAAAAAAACAAAATAATGATGAGGTGTTTGTTTTTTTTAAATCGACAAAAATTTTAAAAATTCATAGTATACAATGTTGGCAAGAGCTCAGGTCAACAGTTGCTCTCATAGGCTGTTGGTAAGAGTGTAAATTGGGACAAACCTTCCACATGGCAGTTTGACAATACACATCAAAAGCTTTATGTGTAGAGATAGATAAACCACCTCCAGTTGCCATCGAGTTGTTTCCAATTCATGGTGGCCCAGTGTGTTTCAGAGTAGAACTGTGATCCACATGGTTTTCAATGGTTGTGATCTTTCAGAAGTAGATGGCCAGGCCTTTCTTTTGAGGCACCTCTGGGTGGATTCAAACTGCCAACCTTTCAGTTAACAGTTGAGTATAAGTATGTATGTATTTAGACATGTCTGTGTGGCACAAATGGTTTGTGCTGGACTACTGACCTAAAGGTTGGTAGCTCAAACCTACCCAGCAGCTCTGGGTTTGGCAACGTGTTTGGCTTTGGTTTATGTATACATATACATGTATAGACGCATAAATATCTGTGTGGGGGTGTGGTTGTGTGTGTGTGTGTATGTATATACACACATATATATACATACATATATATATACATACATACATATATCCCTGGGTGGAGCAAACAATTAATCCTTGACTACTAGCCAAAAGGCTGGTGGTTTGAACCCGTCCAGAGGTGCCCCGGAAGACAGGCCTGGTGATCTGCTTCCAAAAGGTCACAGCTTTGAAAACCCTATAGAGCAGTTCTACTCTGCACACATCGGGTGGCCATGAGTCAGAATCAACCCAATGGCAATTAACAGCATCAACTCTCTCTATATATATACGTATGTATATATTCTTTGACCCATCATTTTCACCCCATTTAATATATCCTAGGGAATAATCAAGGATATGCACAAAGATTTAACAGAAATCTTTATAATAAAAAAAATTAGAAACAAGCAAAAAAAAAAAAAAAAACCCCACTGCCGTCAAGTCGATTCTGACACATAGCGATCCTTTAGGACAGACTAGAACTGCCGCATAGGGTTTCCAAGGAGTGGCTGGTGGATTTGAACTGCCAGCCTTTTGGTTAGCAGCCGTAACTCTTAACCACTGCACCACCAGGGCTCCGTTAGAAACAAAGCACACATCAAATAATACGGGATTCGTTAAATAAATTCTGACTCCTTGATTCAGAGGAATACTATGAAATAATTAAAAATGCTAGTGTAGAAGAGCAGTTTATCTTCTTTCCTCCCAACTCACTGAGGTGCATATATACTCTCATCTATATCAAGGCTCCCCACAACAGTGACTCTGGGGAGGGGTGGCTTCTCTCCAGAGGGGCATAGCCAAATTCACAAAGGGAAGAGGTGCGGGTTTGGCTTGTAGAAGCCCCACGTGATCCTCATGTCCTTCACTAGGTTGAAAATCACTTCTATAAAAACACATTTGTTTGTGCAGAAAGATGTTTAGTATATATTAAAACAAGCTATAGTATGATAGCATTTATATGCAAGGAAAAATTATCAAAGAACATACAGCAAGATACTAACACTGTTTATCTCTGGATGATATTTCCTTCATTTTGCCTATCTGAATTTTCTCTACAATGAGTTATGTATTCATTGTGTAATTTTTTTTAGGAAAATTTTCATGACAAAAAGAATGAGCAAAAAATGAACTAAAATATGCTAAGGAAATTATATTTGTTTTATATTATTTCCCACAAAATATTTTGTGATGCTACAACATGAAAAACAATAACAAACATATTTGTAAACACTTCATACACTCTTATTTTTTAAGGAACAGAGCATTGAAAGTATTTTGTATTCCTGAAGAATAAGAAACATCAGACAAATTTGAGGGCTTATAAATACTATGTGATGATAGCAATTATTGACTGCGAATTATGACTTTGAACTCTTTTTTTTTAACCTAGCAAAATTGAAACTAATCATTTCCTGACGAAGAAATGCAATTTCAACTGACCCTGTTTTTGCACCTTGGTGAGTATTAGTTGTCAAAATTCATTTTCTGCCTGTTTTGAATTGTCTTAAAAGATTTAGTAAAAGTAATTTTAAAACATATCCAGTTCTTTTTTTCTACAATGCTATATACCTGCAAGAGGAATCCTGGTGGTGCAGTGGTTAAGCCCTCGGCTACTAACCAAAGGTTCATGATTCGAACCCACCAGCCTCTCCACAGGCGAAAGATGTGGCAGTCTGCTTCAGTAAAGATTGTTGTTGATGTTAGGTGCTGTCGAGTCGTCTCCCACTCATAGTGACTCTATGTGCAACAGAACGAAACACTGCCCGGTCCTGCTCCATGCTCACAATTGTTGTTATGCTTGATCCCATTGTTGTAGCCACTGTGTCAGTCCATCTCATTGAGGGTCTTCCTCTTTTTCCCTGACCCTCTACTTTATCAAGCATGATGGCCTTCTCCAGGGACTGGTCCCTCCTGATAAGTTGTCCAAAATAAGTGAGATGAAGTCTCACCATCCTCGCTAAGCATTCTGGCTGTACTTCTTCCAAGACCGTAAATATTATAGCCTTGGAAACCCTATGGCGCAGTTCTACCCTGTCCTATAGGATCGTTTTGAATCAGAGTCAACTTGACGGCAATGGGTTTATATATCTGCATGGCTATTCTGTTGTACAATTGTGTCAAGCAACTAGAAGTTCCCCTTAGTCATGCTAAGTATCCACGCATAGGTACAACTAACCTCGAGGTGGAGGTTCGAACCCATCCAGTGGCATCATGGAAGAAAGGCCTGGCCATCCACTTCCGTTAAGATTACAGCCAAGAAAACCCTATGGAGCAGTTCTGCTTTATAACACATGGGATTGCCATGAGTGGGAATGGACTCCATGGCAATGGGTTTTCAGTGGAATGTTATCATCAGCAGATAATGCTAGTGAAATGCTTTCAGATTCTTAATTGACAAATAACGCATTTTTGTTTTTTAAAATAACTCTGCTTTGAATGTAGCAATTGTCCCAATATTGAGGTCTTATGAAGATTTTATAAGCAAAGTTTCCTCTTCTAAATAAGCAGCAGCTTTAAGCTAAAAGGTCAAATTCTCCATGCCTCTGTTGTCCTTAATATACAGAATAATTTGCATTAGTCATAGAAAACATGTTTCCAACAATTACTTTCTTTGATCCCAACTTCTCTATAGCTACAGCAGCCCTGCCTTTGGGTACTGAGTACTAACTAAATTTCTCAGAATCTTCTCTTAGAAAATGCATGCTCAGTTTCTTCATGGAAGCAAACTAAGAATCTCACCTTTGTAATTTTGCCGTTCCGCATTCGTAAGGTAATTTCCCAGCTAGTTTTGCTGATAATGGAGGAAAGAATAACAGCTCCAGATGGTGAGCAGCTTGTCCTTACTGTTGAAAATTCCCTGCCTCAGCAATGTGAGCCACAAACCTGTGGTAGCAGATTCTTGTTATCATCTGAGACTCTCAGATTATACCTCGGTTAGTCAGAGAAGAGTTGTTATGATCTACATCTACCCTGGGTGTTCTCTCAACCAGTATCCAAAATCAGAAGGGAATGCTGAAGGTCACTGCACCCTTCTCCCCAGCCTCTATATAGGATACCTTACTCACACTTCCCAAAATTCCAGGCCACTCCACAATTCCTCAGAGAGCCTTCCCAGGCCAGGGGACCCATCCATCTGGACAAAAAAGGCCTTACCGAACTAGATCCTAGATTTCTAAACCTAAGTGTGCCGTAATCTAGCCCAAATCTCTAGGGCTGTCCATGGTTCTGTGGTTGTTATTAGTTGCCATTGACTCGGCTCCAACTTACAGCAATCCCGTGTACAATAGAATGAAACATGTCGCCCAGTCCTGCACCATCTTCACAATCTTAGGTATGCTGGAGTCAGTTGTTACAGCCACTGTGCATTTTGAATACCTTCCAGCCTAGAAGACTCATCTTCCAGCACTATATCAGACAATATCCTGTTGAGATCTGTAGAGTTTTCATTGGCTAATTTTCAGAAGTACATGGCCAGGTCTTTCTTCCTGATCTGTCTTAGTCTGGAAACTCTGCTGAAAACTGTCCACCATGGATGGTCCTACTGATATTTGAAATACCAGTGGCATAGCTTCCAGCATCATAGCAACATGCAAGCCACTAAAGTACAATAAACGTGGTGGATGGTTGAATTATCAACCAGAAAATGCCCAAGCTGATTATGTATAGTTTCAAACACATGTAGTATGAATACACACACACACACATATATATATATTTATAGGTATAGTAAAATATGTATATTAAAAATACTGGAGCCTATTTCATCATTTTGTTGTGCATTTTGACTGAGAGAGTTAAGGACAAAGAAGCATAAAAAGTACGTTGGCCCCATGGGTTTGGGAAGCTGGTTGCAAAGTGCAAAGCTTATCTGACATGCATTCTTTGTACATTTTCTTATGCATAATAACTAAATGGGTGTGAGTATGTGTGTGTGTGTGTGTGTGTGTTTATATTCTTTAAAATACTGAAGTAAACTCTAAAGTATGTGAAAACATCTCATATTTTAAAAGATCAATATAATGTACAAAATTATTAAATAGAGAAATTATCAAATAATAGTTATTACTACAAAATGACCTTTCATTTCATAGAAGAGTTTACTCCAAGCTTTCTATAAATGACTAAATCTTCTAAATTCATTTTTAATGAGGTTCTATCTTCAGGCTGTACATCATTTTTGAGGAATACATTGATTGTCTAAAGATATAAGCATCTTCATTCTATGAATCAGTTCCAACCTCTTGCTAATGAGTTAATCTGGCAGTTGAAAACTTCTGCCCAGAAAGGGTTTTGCTGAGTCTATATTCAAGCATGAAGGTTCAATGACCTATGTTTCTAGCCACTTTTTGCCAAGTATTTTAACCCAGAAAATTCATATTTTCACTTATAATATTATATGAATAATAGTTCCATTTCTCTAAGTCCTGGAATAGTTCTATTTCTGAAAAGTATGCATCTGATCAGAACAAGTTTGGCCAAGTCAAGTTAAAAAAAACCATGTTAAATCTCTAAGGCAACAGTTGCAATAAGAGAATTCGGTATGAAACTTGTCTAAAAGAATAAATTCCTCTAAGGGAAGTCTTAGTTAATCCACATGTAGCATCAGCAGACTATCCAAAGGAGGAATATAATATTTCCTAAATGTATTGTCCTTAGCTCTGTTTTTTTAAAAAAAAAAAAATTTATTATGGTGAAAATATATATCAAAAATTTGCCATTTTAACCACTTTTAAGTGTACAGTTCAGTGACATTAATTACATTTACCATGCTGTGCAACCATCACCACTGTTTCCAAAAGTTTTTCATCACTCCAAGCAGAAACTCCATATCATTTAAGCAATAACTCTCCATTTCTTTCTCTCCCCAGTCCCTTAACCACTAATAAACTTTTGTCTCTATGCATTTGCATATTCTGGATACTTCATATAAGTGGGATCATACAATATTTGTCCTTTTGTGTCTGACTTATTCCACTCATCATATTTCCAAGATTATGTCATAGCATGTATCAGAACTTCATTTCTCTTGATGGCTTGATAATATTCCATTGTATGTATATACCACATTTTATTTACCCTTTCATCTGTTGATGGATACTTGCGTTATTTCCACATTTGGCTATTGTGAATAATGCTGCAATGAACATTGGTGTACAAGTTATCTGTTTAAGTTCTTGCTTTCAAGACTTTTGTGTATATAACTAGGAGTGGAGTTGCTGAGTCATGTAGTAATTCTAGAGCCCTGGTGGCACAGTGTTTAGAGCTATGGCTGCTAACCAAAAGGTTGGCAGTTTGAATCCACCATCCGCTCCTTGGAAACCCTATGGGGCAGTTCTATTCTGTCCTATAGAGTAGCTATGAGTCGGAATCGACTTGATGGCAACCGGTTTGACTTTTTTTTTTTTTTTTTTTTTGGTGGTAATTTTATGCTTAACTTTTTGAGGAATTGCCAAACTATTTTCCAAAGTAGCTGCACCGTTTTACGTTCCCACCAGCAGTGTATAAGGGTTACAATTTCTCCACATTCACTGTCTTTTCTGATGCAGAATCCTGTTGGCCTAGAGATCGGATCAACACATTTTGGGAACATTTATCTTTACTACAAATCTGTAGTTTGTAAATGAAAAAACTGAGGCTTGAATAGTTAATGCACCAAATCTACCCAGCAAGCAAAGCTGGGATCATTCATCATCCACCAGTGCATTGGCCCTACGGGTTTGGAGAACTGGCTACAAATTTAGAAGTCTGATACATCTTTTGAACAGTATTAAATAAATATATAAGTGCCTTGTTGTTGTTAGGCACCTAAACATAGTGAATTGGCTATGCCTGACTATACCTAGGTTATTTACCAGCCTCTGTATTTTTGATGACTCCATAATCTACCCTGGTTTTACCTCAGATTTGAGTGAAGTACAATTTTCCTAATTTAATATAAATCTTTTTTAGAGTCAAAGGCTTTCTTGGGAATATACAATACTTAAACTGTGGTTCAGATTCTTCCAGGTGACTTGACTTCAAAAGCATTTACTGTTGTTTTTCCCTCTGTCTCTAGCAAGAGATATATTTGCCTGAATATTTATAACTTATTTATAACATTTCCAGATTCTCTGCTTAGAACATCTGATTCTTTTTGCCATTGTAACAAATTAAAAAAAGAAGAAAAAAAATATGGCTACTCTATGGTTGTATTTTTTCCAACCAATGTCAGCTGATTTCGAAGTCACTTAAGCCTTCTCCTACACTTTTCTGTGTGCTATCTAGGCCTAAATTGTGTTTTGCATTACTTTGCACTATTATTACTACTATTTAGCAATAGTTCAATAGTCCAAAATTTTAGTACCATCATAACATACTATTAATTTTTTAAAGAACTTACCACTTTTCCAAAACTTAACATTTGAACAAATTCACATTAAAAAAAATAAACTCTTTAAACCAAAATTTAAGAACCTTATCTCAGACTAGACATGAAAAGTAGAGAGTCGAGGTAACAATTGAGGTAGCAGTTCCCTGCCATGATCTTATCTCACTTGTGACCAAGTCTCTTCGTGACAGATCTGATGGGCATCAGAAATTAGATTTGTTCCAGGGTGTATCTGAACCCAACAATCTAGGGATTCAGTTGAATTTACATATTTTATGAGAAAGGGTTTCTTAAATGTTCCGATTTATTTTGCACAGGTAGGAACAGCAGCTATAACAGGCAGGACTGGGACTCTCCTTCCTTGTGTCTGTGAATTAGTCTTCATTACGTAGGGTTGCTATGAGTCAGAATTGACTCAATGGCAACAAGTTTTTAAGGAATCCTGGTGGTGCAGTGGTTAAGCACTTGGCTGCTAACCGAAAGGTCGGCGGTTGGAACCCACCAGCTGCTCTGTGGGAGAAAGACGTGACAGTCTGCTTCCATAAAGATTAATAGCCTTGGAAACCCTATGGGGCAGCTCTGCTCTGTCCTATAGGGTTACTATGAGAAGGAATCAACTCCACAGCAACAGATTTTGTTTTTTTGTTTGTTTTATTTGCTGTAAAGTGACACATAAAGAATTCCCAGTAAGTAGAGGCTGCTCAGATCAGTTTCCCTAGAAATAGAGCCTGAGGCAGGGATTTTTGTGCCAGGGATTTGTTGAAAGAATAGTCTCAGGAGAAAGGGAAACGGGAAATGGAGAGGACAAGACGTGGTCCCAACTAGAGTCAGGCTTCAACCTGACCCCACAGGGAGGTTCTGAGCATGAACTGCACCATAGAGTTTATCCCAGCCTGAGGCAGTGGGGCCAGCCTTTTGAACCCTGTGTCTGTCAGTCATTGGCTACAGGTTACCCCAGGTGGGCCCAGGGAACACAGATGGTGAAACCTCCCGGCTGGGTGCATTCCATCAGGCTGAGGGTACCAATAGCATGCACTAACCGGGATCTTAATGAACAACAAAAATGGTATTAAAAATAAGCAGACTGGTGTTAACTTTCTGACTTAACCAGATGCTTCTTCAGGCCTTGTGCTGCCTTAGACTGCCTTGCCATGTAGCTGTTTTTTTTTTTTTGTGCTCAAGGGTTGCTCAGTTACTCCAAAGCTCAAGATGAATGCAACAGGGGTGTCTGTCATCCTACTACTGGTGATCTCCTAGTGGGCCGTGGTGCTCAGCTAACGGCTTCTTCTACCTGCAGGCTGAAAGGAGCCCAGAAACACTGCATCCTCAGCTACCTGGAGGTAGGTTGATCCTTTGTTTACTTGTTGGGAAGTTATTTAATCAGTGACGTCTCTTTTTCCAAGTATATCTGGGGCAAGCAACCGACACAACTCTAAAGAAGGAGACAATATTCGTTCCTGAAGAAAAGAGACGCAGGTAATATAATTCAGAGTTGAGGAAGTCATGAGTAATCAGGATATAGGGTAGATCTGCTTAATATATATTTCTTGTTTCCTTTAGAAGGAGTCCTGGTGGCGCAGTGATTAAAGCGATTGACTGCTAACTGAAAGGTCGGCAGTTGGAAACCACCAGCCGCTCGGCAGGAGAAAGATGTGGCAGGCTGCTTCCATAGAGATTTACAGTCTTGGAAACCCTATGGGGTTGTTATGAGTCAGAAATGACTCGACAACTGTGGGTTTGGTTTTTTGGTTTTGGTTACCTTTAGAGTTAGAAAAGTGTTTTGGTTTAGTCTTTAACTGTAAATTACTACACAATCTACTGGTCTACTTAGCTACCTTAGTGAATCTCATAATTTAAAAAAAACAAAAAAAAAAACCCATTGCTGTCAAGTCAATTCCGACTCATAGTGACCCAACAGGACACAGCAGAACTGCCCATAGGGTTCCCAAAGCTATAATCTTTACAGAAGGAAGCAGACTGCCACATCTTTCCCCCTCGAACAGCTGACCTTCAGTTACCAGCCAAGCACTTAACTATTGTGCCACAAGGCTCCTTAATGACTCCCATTTAAAAAAAAAAAAAAAACCCAAACCCATTGCATTGAGCCTTATCAACTCTTAGTGACCCTATACGACAGAGTAGAACTGCCCCTATAGTGTTTCCAAGGCTGTAATTTTTATGGAAGCAGACTGCCACATCTTTCTCCCATGGAGCTGGTGGTGGGTTTGAACCACCAACCCTTTGGTTTGCAGCCGAGCACTTAACCACTGCACCACCAGGGCTGCTTAGTGACTCCCATAGGGGGGCATAATTGACTCTCAGTGAAAACTGAAGATTCCTAAGGGCCTCAAGGTCATTATGCTGAACATGAGTACTCGCTGTTCTGCCTTCGAGAAAGAGGGGTGTAGAAAGTTGAATTCATTGTACAGCACCCCACAATGCCACTTGAAAATTATATAGTCTAAAAATCATAAATTCCCAATGTGAGCATATTTCGTGCCACTAGCCTTTTTCTCTTAAAGAACAGTTTATTAAAAGAACCAATAGCTTTACAGTTGTTTTTTGTTTGTTTTGTTTTTTTTCTGTCTGTGATCCGGGAGCAGAACAGACATCTGAGGCCATCTGAGTATCTTACCTGCTGAAAAGCCTGAGGCAATCACGTCAACCACTTAAATGAAAGGATGTACAGGAAGGCAGTTGGACATAAGCCTAATGTTAAGGCCCAGGCTTTTCCATGAATTGTTCATTTAAGGCAATGTGTTTAGGTCTCTGGGAAATGCTTTGTATCTTAATTGGTTGCTAGTAAAGGATTATAAGTAAGTGGAGACAATACTTGGGTGTTTAGCACTGTTCTAAGTTTGGGAAGTACTTGTGTAAGAAAGCAAATTCTCTGCATGTGCTAGGAAATTACACAGTGGAAGTTTTGCTCAATTCAAGGCCAAGTGGGGTAGATGGCTCTTCAAGCAACTTTACTAAATCCATGTCTAGGCAAGGAGGTCATTCTCAACTTTAAGATTAGAAACTTTCCAACACTAACATTACCCATCTTGTTCTTCAACCACTGTTGTCATGGGTGAACATACTCTGACAAAAATTAGAAATTGGTTTTGCTATATCTCAAAGTTATACCCCCAAAATAGAAGTAAATAAAACTGCAGAGACTTATTTTGTCTAGAGAATAATGTAAAGCATAAATTTTAGGGCTGGGAAGAACCTCAAAATATTGTTAGGCTCACAAAATATTACAAGTGGGGCTACAAGTACTAGATAAACTTTCGTGCACCATGGGGGATGATTTTTTTCCACCCAATATCTAACAAAGAGCAACCAAGCAAAACATTTTCTTCAGAAACTTCAAGTCAGCATTGACTCATAGTGTTAACCAAATTGAGACTTCCACATCTAGTTGCCACAACTAAGAGTCTTCTTTGGCAAGCCTCAACAAGACTATGCTTCTAAGTGATTACAGAAAAATGACCAACAAGCCCCGAAGTTAATTAAACACTTTCCTCAATAATTCCCATAGTATCATTAGAAATATTTTGGAGTCTTGGTTTCTGCTGCTTTTTTAGGGTAGGTCTGGGGCAAGTTTACTCATATGCAGAATTGATCTAGCTGCCATTGCTCCTTAATTTCCAAGGGGAACTTTGACTTTCTTCAAATGAAAGACCAAGGAGGCCAGTGATTCTAAAGTGGACTGACTATATACCATAGAGATCTCAAATGGCTGATTTATTTGAACAGACTCTACTGGTTGAAATAATCATTAAAATCATCATCATTCTTCTAACAAATTTTATTGATCTTCTATTATATCCTGTCCTATAGGGTCACTATGAGTTGGAATCAACTTGACAGGAACGTGTTTGGTTTTTTTGGGTTTATTATATACCAGGCACCATTCTGGGTAATGGGGATACAGCAACAAACAAAACAAAGTCCTTTCACTTATTCAGCTTAAATTCTAATGATGAAGACAGGCAATAAACCAACAACTATATAATATAGACTCTAGTAGTGATAAGGGCTTAAAAAATATATAAAGCAGGACAAAAGGATAGAGAGTGGCAGAAGGCCATAGTGTGGGGAAGTGGTGGTATTTTAGGTAGGGTAGTCAAGGGACATCTCTCTGAGACGATGGCATTTAAACAGAGACCTCGAAGAAGGGAAGGAGCAGGAGGTAAGAACATCTGGGAGTGAGAACAGCATATGCTAAGACCCTAAGACAAGAGGTCTCTTGCTGTGCTCAAGCAACAGCAAGGATCAAGTGTGACTAGAGCCAGATGAGTGAGGGGAAGACAGATAGAGGAAAAGGCAAAGAGGCAGCTGAGGCCAGATCACTTAACACCTTGTAAGCCAAGGTAAGGACATATAATCAAACTATATTCACCAAGTACCTATCAGTACATTATGCCATTGTAGGCCATTTCCAGCACAGAGAATTGCAATAAACAACCCCTGCTTCCTGGGAGCTTTCCAAAAGGTTTTTCAGAGTCCTGCAAGTATTAGCCAGAACAACTGTGCGCCATTGGCAGAACTTTGGAAATCTTTGGAGAGCTCCTTAGGAGTTTTAAGTAGAGTCATAAATGTATGCATTCAATTAAGCAAGCTGAAAGGTTAGGTTTTTGTAACCTTTGAAAAATCCATCCTAAGCAAAACTAGTTCCAATTCACTAATAAGACCTTCTAGTCTGTGAGAGAAGAGGGTGGGCCTCTCTGTTGTCAGTTTAATGAAAATCTTTTACAAAATCCATGTGTATAATATGAAGGCTTTGGAGGCTTTTCTACCAAAAACTTTGTTTGTGAAATCTAAGATAGAAAGGATGATGGCTGCAGATAACCTATGGCCAAGATTAATTTCTTGCAAATTATTCCTTCTTTTTTTTTTTTTTTGCTTGAGGAAGTACTTCTAACTCAAAAAATAAACCCTAATTGTTTCTATACAGTTTAAAATAATTTCTAGATCATCTGCCTCCTGTATGAGAAAAAATTAGTTCCACATAAATTTGCATTTGGGCCCTAAATGTATAAATTTATAAAATTTCTAGGGCATATTCAAATTTAGTTTGTTATTATATTTAGGTACCAATTGATGGAAAAAAGAGGTGTCTTGTTATTTCCTCTGCTTTTTATTTTTAGCCAGATTGAAAGACAAATATAGTAAGAACAGCCTGTTTTTAAATTGAGATGAACAATAAGCAATTACAATCTGTTATTTTTAATTTTAACTTTGATGTTTTCCAGGAGGAGCAAAAATGCTTCGTCTGTGACTCCAGATTTCCGTATGATCCATATACCCAACCCAACAGCCACACCATTGAGAATGTAATTACAAGTTTTGAACCAGATAGAGAAAAGAAATGGTGGCAGTCTGAAAACGGTATTATTAAATTCCTTTCCAAGTTTTTATTTCTTCATATGTTAATAAAGCATCTTTCTCTCTGTATGGTTTAATAATGTCACAACAAGAAGTTATACCAGAATGGAACAATACTCACCAAGAATGTAGAGCTGCATATAAGAACAAAATTTATTTTCATTTTAAAAAAGAATATTTTCCCTTAGAGAAATCAAAGTGTATTTTAAGCACATAATTCAGAATGTGTTGCTGTTTCCATGTGGGAGGAGGAAATATCTGTGCATCCTTTTGTTCTTTGTAAAAATAAAGAAGTTTATGGGGTGTTGGTAAGTTAAGCTCCAATATAAAACACTCTGGTGAATGAATAACTGAATTAATAACTCCAGGAAAAACCTGACAGCACCATGTGTTTTTTCCTTCTGCAACACACGTACCAAAACCGAACCCATTGCCTTCGAGTCGATTCTGACTCATAGCGACCTTGTAGGACAGAGTAGACCTGCCCCATAGGGTTTCAAAGGCAGTAATCTTTACAGAAGCAGACTACCACATCTTTCTCCCATGGGGCAGGCTGGTGGGTTCAAACTACCAAAGTTTTGGTTAGCAGCCAAGCATTTAACCAGTGCACTACCAGGGCTCCTGAGACCCTTCTAGTTTTCCTTAACCCCCAGAAAATGATTCTACTCACCACATCTGTAATGTTGCAGTTTTGGTTGCAATGCCCTATTTTCTTGATACATCTACATATATTTCCCTTAGGGATTCCTAGACCATTGGAGGAGAGTGTGGGAATGATCATAATACATAAGATAGTTTAGAGCAAGGTAAATATGAGGCTTCTTTTCTATGTTATCCATTTGACAATTATATGATTGGTGTCTACTAAATGCCAGTTCATTTTGTTCTTTTTTAAAAATATTTTATTTATTTTTGGTGGCGATATACACAACCAAACATACATCCATTACCATTCTATATGAACAGTTCAATAACTTTGAGGACTAAGTCAGTTTGAGGACTAAGGTACACCTGACCCAAGCCATGGTATTTTAAATTGCCTCATATGCATGCAGAAGCTGGACAATGAGCAAGGAAGACCAAAGAAAAATTGATGTCTTTGAATTATGGTGTTGGCAAAGAATATCATATATACCATGGACAGCCAGAAGAGTGAACAAATTTATCTTGGAAGAAGTACAGCCAGAATGCTTCTTAGAAGTGAGGATGGTGAGACTTTGTCTCACATACTTTGGACAGGTTATCAGGAGGAACCGGTCCCTGGAGAAGGACATCATGTTTGGTAAAGTAGAAGGTCAGCAAAAAAGAAGAAGAGCCTCGACGAGATGGACTGACACAGTGACTGCAACAGTGGGCTCAAACATAGCAACAATTGTGAGGATAAAGCAGGACCTGGCAGTGTTTCGTTCTGTTGTACATGGGGTTGCTATGAGTGGGAACCAACTTGACGGCACCTAACAACAGTTCATTAACATTGATTATATACTTCACAGTGTGTCACCATACTCACTATCTCTACCCATATTGTTTCATCACCATTAATTTAGGCTCTCTGACCCTTAAAGTTCTCATCTGTGCTTTACATTAACTGTTGCCAGATTAAGTTCTAAATACCAGTTCACTTTGGATCCTAATTATGGATCTCTATGGAATCTCCTTAATGAATACAAGGTGATTTTTACCACAGTCACCTGTCTTCATTAATGAACAGTGCTGATTTTATTTCAATAGTTGTTTTGACCCATATGTTGAGCAGTTGTTCCATGTCTCCTCAGAAAGCAAATGTCCCCATATCACAGCCAACTACATAGAACAAGAGTTCTCCACCAGGCACTTCAGAGAGGGGAAAGTAGATTTCCTTTTGGAAACGATAGGACCTGGAACACAATGGCCCTAACAGTAACAGGCCCTTCCCCAAGCTGTTTGGCCTGGAACTCTAAGCTGAACCCCAATTTACTGCAGCCCAGCCCCTGTGTTCTAGAGGTGCTCTGTCCAATATGGTAACCCCTAGCCACATGTGGCTATTGAGCACTTGAAATGTGGCTGATCTGAATTGAGATGTGCTGAAAGTTTAAAAACATCCTACATTTCTAAGCCTTAGTTTGTATAGAAAAAAAAGTAAAACAAGGAATTACTAATTTTTTAATAATGATTATATGTTGAAATGGTAATAGTTTGATATATTGGGTTAAATTTACTATTAAAATTAATTTCACCTGTTTCTTTTTACTTTTTAAAATGTGGCTATTAGAAATTTTAAAATTACATACGTGACTGGTTGTTTCTATTGGACAGTGCTGCTCTAGAGAGACCTAGAGAGAACCTCCACATGTCCGAGTTGGGGCTGACCCTCCTCACCCATGCTAGAGATGGATCATAGCTATCTAGCTCAGTGCCAAGTCCTATCAGGACACTTTTGTCTTCTCCTCAGCCATAGACAAGCCCACAGATTCCCCACTCCAAGGGAGAGATTCCAAGCTGTGTTTTATGCAAAGAGACAATAAAACTCTAGTTCAAATGACTGTTAGCAGTTGTTGTAAGAAAAAGGTGTGTTGTTTTTTATCATACTAAGGCTTGATAGCTCGAGTTCATGCGTAGTTAAAACTTGCGTACAAGGAGGTAAGCCCTCTATTTCCATCTACGGGAAATGTTGGCTGCACTCCCTCGGTGGGTATAAAGCGGCCACACGGTAGCTGTGTATGTTATGGTGTGTGGGCACCAACAGGAGAAATCCTGTATTGGTCTCACATAGGTCTTCTCCTGGACATGGAGTGGCCAACAGATTGGGAAAGAGTGGTGATCACCTGCCATGTGATTTCAAATATATTTTATTTCATGCACGTAGCAATGGGGGAAGGTAACACTGATAAACAGGGATCTCTCAAAATCACTGATTTTCTTCTTTCTGGATTTCTCTTTAGGTCTTGATCATGTCAGCATCAGACTGGACCTAGAGGCATTATTTCAGTTCAGCCATCTTGTATTGACCTTTAAGCTACAGATATACAGGCCTGCCACCCCTTTATCTACTTATAAAATGTTCCGTGTCTACCTGGTATTTCACTTCCTTGCAGAAACCAAAAAGCTGTGTAAATCCAGAATTGAGCTGTGTCATCTGGTTTTTGTTCTCGGATTAAGAACAAAAAACAAAAAAATTGCTTGTTAATCAAGAAACAAAACAAAAAAATACCCTTAGAAGAGTAGAAGATACAGTCAAAAGGAAAACTCCAAACACGGGGGTGATAGGAACCAGAAAGATAGTTTCCAGGACAAAAAGGCAGAAACTGGAAATTGTTTACAGAAATATGGAAAGATTGTGATAAAGAGGGGAAGAAAAATTAAAAGGTCTTTACTAAAGTTAGTCAAATGCCAGAGCAAATCAATGTGTCATTCTTTAAACATACTAATTTTGATGTCAGCCTGGTGGCAATAAAAAATGAATATAAAATAAAAAATGAAAAAACACCAGTCTTTTCCCTGAAAGAGCTCACAGTCAAGTGATAAGCATAAACATACAAATAGAAAATTATAATACAAAGTGAAAATGCAGAAATGCAGGTATGATTAGAATGCTAAGGAATTTCTTCATTGAAGACACTAAGGCTATGGAGAATCAGAGTAAACTTTGTGGTTGGGTTTTGGAGGATTTATAAGAGTTTGGAAGAGGAACGGCATTCTAGGCAAAGGAAAAGAAATAGTTGCCATTGAGTCAATTCCAACTCATGGCCACCCATGTGTGTCAGAATACAATGGTACTCTGTAGGGTTTTCAATGGCTGATTTTTCAGAAGTAGATTGTCAGGCCTTTCTTCCAAGGTGCCTTTGGGTGGACTTGAACTTGAACCTTTTGGTTAACTGCATGGTTCTTTAACTGTTTGCACCACCCAGGGGCTCCAGCCAAAGAGAACCATGTGCAAATTGCTGTAAAATACTAATTACATTTGCTGTTTTATTTATATGTCATCTTTCTTCAACTAATAATTCACAGAACCCTAAACTTTTTAAGTGAAATTAGATTCTGAGGATAAAGTATGTGCTCATAAATACTGGCTCAAAAGAATTTTCAGTGTGTTTATTGTATAATATATTTAAAAATAAACAAAGTATGGAAATAATGAAATTAAAAATTATAAACTTTCAACCTGCAGTAATAAAACCTACCTTTGTGAAGCATTACAAGTTAAACTCATTTTTTCATAGACTTTTCGGCCTGCTGCAATGTTAATGGAGCGTTCCACAGACTATGGACACACCTGGAAAGTGTTCAAATATTTTGCAAAAGACTGCAGTGCTTCCTTTCCCAACGTCACATCTGGCCAAGCCCAGGAAGTGGGAGACCTTTTTTGTGACTCCAAATATTCGGATATTGAACCCTCAACTGGTGGTGAGGTAGCAATTCCTTTCTTGGATTTCTTTGGTTTAAATGAAACTTTTTTAAAAATTTGGTTAATCTAGATTTTAAAAATTTTGGTAGTGTTGTTGGGTTTTTTTAAGAATGAAAAGTGTCTACATTGAAATGAATTCAGAATTCATCTCAAAGATAGATACATTATAGGAAATAGGAAATAATACTGCATGAGAGTGCCCAGCTGAAGGTGAATGGGGGGATGAAGTCCAGCCCATGCACCACTCACAAGGCACCGAGCCCCTGTTCTAACACTTGCAAGAAAGCCACATAGGCTAACAGTAGTCCTAGACCGGGATTAGTTGTCTCATCTCCATACCATCCATACAGACTCTGCCAGAAATAACCTTCTGAGCAAAGCTAGTGACCTGCAGAGGGTTAGAGTGAGAGTGGGGTTAGGGAGTACTGTTTTCTCAGGTAGAGCAGAGAGAGTTGATGGCAGAAGGCAGATCCAGAATCCTCTGCCAGATCCAACCTGACAACAGCTTGCCGAACTGTAAGCCTTCCACTCCACCCCCACCCAGCTCAAGAGCTCTTTCCGCCAGTGGTATCACCGTTTCTGTCTGTAGGGGCCAGTTGTTCATACAGAGCCAAAAGATGACTGTTTAATCACCTTCATTCATGTTCATTCTTGATGTTTTTGTTCATATGTTAACCCCAATGATAATCTGTAACTGACAGCAGCTGGCATGCAATGGTTCAGCCTTCCTGTAAGGTCAAGATCTCTTCTTTAAGACCGTATTTGACAATTGTTTTGGGGTAGAATACTATCAATTTACCTATATTTGTTTTATAGGTTGTTTTAAAGGTTTTGGATCCCAGCATTGAAATAGAAAACACTTACAGTCCTTACGTCCAGGGTATGAATCGCTTTATATTTTTCATACCAACTTCTTTTTTAAAATTTCATAGTACGAGCATGCATTGCTTATTATTGCACCTTCTGTAGAACATTAAGGGGATATCAGCCAAGGAGGGTTTCTTGAACCAAGACAACCTCAGGGTACTTTGATTCATTATTTTCCTTTCTCTAGACCTTGTGACACTAACAAACCTGAGGATAAACTTCACCAAACTCCATACCCTTGGGGATACTTCGCTTGGAAGGAGGCAGAATGATACCCTTGATAAATACTACTACGCTCTGTACTACATGGTTGTTCGGGGAAGCTGTTTTTGCAACGGTCATGCTAGTGAATGTGGCCCTATGCAGAAGATGTGAGGAGATGTTTTCAGCCCCCCTGGAATGGTGAGTTATGAATCCAAAAGAGGAGTTGGCTCTCCTGTCTGCCCTTCACTATCCTGGTGCTAAGTGTAGATCAGAAGTGGCAGCTTTGTATTGAGGCAGGTAGTATTTAATCTGACCCAACAGGTCATCTAGAGGATCTTCTGGTTCTCTAGACAGAGTTCCTGTGGATTCTGCCACATACTGGGCATCCAGCAAAGACCATGACTGCATCACTGAACTAATGAGCAGAGTTTATGATTTCAAGATAGCCCATCATTCCCTCTCTTGCTTTGTTTTTTAGGGAATGGAGATCTGATGTGGAGGAACCATAATTTCACATTCATTCTCTGACAAAAATTGACTGAAGGCCTATGGTGTGTAATCCCCTGTGCTCCGTGCTAGTGTGTGTCAGTAATATCTGATATGGGAAAAATGGCCAATTCAAGTAAGATGTCTTACACTACAAAGACTACATCTTCACACTGCAGATATCTCTTATTCTTGAGGCTAGTCTTGAAAGATTGAGGTAGGAGAAGAATTGTATTTCTATGCAGAGCCCTAAAAAAAAAAAAAAAAAAAAAACTAATTAAAAAAAAAAAAAAAAAAAACCATTGCCATCGAGTCAATTCCGAATCATAGCAACCCTATAGGACAGAGTAGAACCGTCCCGTAGGGTTTCCAAGGAGTGACCTAGTGGCTACTAATACTTTTAAGCTATTTATTAGGCATAATCATACAAGCCTTGATGTTAAGACTATTGTACCTTCACACTCAGCTTCCTCTAGGTGTCACTGGAAATAGTTTCTCCCTTTGCAAAATATCCCGTTGAAGGCATTCTGTGGAAACCCAAAAGAATCACACACCTATCCCCAAATTATTTCCCTTTTCTAACTCCCTATTTTCCCTTATACTCCTAAGTCACTCCATACACACACACACTCACTCCCTTCCCTATCCTTTCCCTCGTTTTATTAAGACTGCAAAGTTCTGCCCTGAAACTAGGATTCAGAAAAGCCAAAAAATGTATTGTAAATGTTCACTGAACATCTTAATTTTTTTTTATTGTGCTTTAGGTGAAAGTTTACAGCTCAAGTTAATTTCTTATACAAAACTTTATACACATGTTGTTTTGTGACATTAGTTGCAATCCCCACAATGTGACAGCACACTCCCCCTTTCCCCACCGAGTTCCCTGTGTCCATTCAACCAGTTCCTATTCCTTCGTGCCTTCTCATCCTGCCTCCAGACAGGAGCTGCCCATTCGGTCTCATGTATCTGATTGAATTAAGAAACACACTCCTCACGTGTATTATTGTTTGTTTTATAGTCCTGTCTAATCTTTGTCTGAAGAGCGGGCCTCGGGAATGCTTTCATTTCTGGGTTAACAGAGCATCCAGGGGCCATAGTTTCGGGGGTTCCTCCAGTCTCTGTCAGACCATTAAGTCTGGTCTTTTTATGTGAATTTGAGTTCTGCTCCATACTTTTCTCCCGCTCCCTCCAGGACTCTCTGTTGTGTTCCCTGTCAGGGCAGTCGTTGGTGGTAGCTGGGCACCATCTGGTTCTTCTGGTCTCACGCTGGTGGAGTTTCTGGTTCATGTGGTCCTTTTAGTCTCTTGGGCTAATATTTTCCTTGTGTCTTTGGCTTTCTTCATTCTCCTTTGCCCCAAGTGAGACGGGACCAATTGATGCATCTTAGATGGCCCCTCGCAAGCTTCTAAGACCCCAGATGCCACTCACCAAAGTGGGATGGAGAACATTTTCTTAGTAAACTTTGTTATGCCAGTTGACCTAGATGTCCCCTAAAACTATGGTCCCCAAGCCCCAGCCCCAGCTACTCTGTCCCTCAGAGTGTTTGGATGTGTCCAGGAAACTTCTTAGCTTTTGCTTTGGTCCAGTTGTGCTGACTTTCCCTGTATTGTGTGTTGTCCTTCCCTTCACTGAAGTGTATCCTTGTCTGCTATCTAGTTAGTGAATTTCCCTCCTCCTCTCTCCTCACCAGCATAACCATCAAACAATGCTTTTTTCTGTGTTTAAACCTTTTCTTGAGTCCTTATAATCTTGGTCCTTTTGTGACTGACTAATTTCACTTAGCATAATGCCCTCCAGATTTATCCATGTTGTGAGATGTTTCGAGGATTCATCATTGTTCTTTATCGTCATGTGGTATTCCATTGTGTGTACGTACCATAATTTGTTTATCCGTTCATCTGTTAATGGGCTCCTAGGTTGTTTCCATCTTTTTGCTATTATGCACAATGCTACAATGAACATGGGTATGTATATGTCTGTTTGTATGATGGCTCTTATTTCTCTAGGATATATTCCTAGGAGTGGGACTGCTAGATGGTATGGTATTTCTATTTCTAGCTTTTTAAGGAAGTGCCAAATCATTTTCCAAAATGGTTGTACCATGAATATCTTACATTTTTTTAAATGTAAAAGGTAGTTAAGCAAATAATAAAAAGTAGTCAAGGTTGGTACTGTAATTAGTACATGGTAAACTAAGACCCAGAGAGGGCCCAGGCCTCATATTTCATTTTCCATTTAAGAACCCCAAAAGACTCCAAGATAAGCCCTCTTTTACCTCTCTGTTTATTTATCACCCAATGCAGGTTCATGGTCATTGTGTCTGTCAGCACAATATAGATGGCCCAAACTGTGAGAGATGCATGGACTTCTTCCAGGATGCTCCTTGGAGGCCAGCTAAAGGCCCCCAGAACAGTACTTGCAGACGTGGGTGAAAATGAGTTCTCGGCATAGGTTGAGAGTGCTCAGTGTTTCCTTATTTTGGAGAACACTTAGTTCATGTCTGTGGGCTGCAGCTTGTGAAACTTTGGCTCTCAGTTCCAATTTTGTGACATCCTAATATCTTCAATTAACGTCCTGGGTGGCACAAATGTTTTGCACTCAACTGTTAACCTAAAGGTCGGTGGTTCAAACCCATCCAGCAGTACTGTGAAAGAAAAGGCCTGGCTATCCACTTCTGTTAAGATTTTTAAAACCAAAAGCCAAACTTTTTGCTGTCGAGTCAACACTGAATTACAGCAACTGTATAGGACAGAGTAGAACTGCGTATAGGGTTTCCAAGGCTGTAATCTTTATGGAAGCAGACTGCCACATCTTTCTTCCTCGGAGCCACTTTGAAGTGCAGACCTTTCTATTAGCAGCTGAGCACCACCAGGGCTCCTACTATTAAGATTACAGCCAATAAAACCCTATGGAGCAATTCCACGCTGTAACACCGTAGGGTTGCCATGAGTTGGAGTTGACTCAATGACAACCACCACCTTCAGTTATTACACATGAAAGAATCACAAACTCCTCGAACCCTCATATGAAAAACTAACTTAAAAAAATAAGACTCATGCATGATGAGTAGGAGCTCTTCAGAGGAGGGGCACAGACTTGTAATTACAGTAGCCGCAGCGACGGTGCAACTCCAGGAATTTTGGTAACACAAGATTTGGTACTATTTTCCCAAATAATCGTATGTTCCTGACCTTAAACCCATATGTCAGATAATAGGAGAGGAATGAGGTCCATGACTGAGTTTAACATGCTGTTATACTTTTTATAAAATATTTTGACTAAAAAGGTTGTTTTGTTTTTAATAATGTCTTTGGTGCCTTCAAATTTTGATGAACTTTCAAACAAATTTGTCATCCAGTTTCTTTTTCCAGATTTGGGAAAAATAAGTTTTGAAGGGGGTGAAAAGTCACTAGAAGTGTTCCCACCAAAAAAAAAACCATCTGTGAGAGTCACAGTATACAAGACCCAGCGAAAATGCAGTCTGAGCTTAGGCTGTTCACAGGGAAAAAAACCAGTAAGACACAGACATCACCACTAAGACAAACAAACTCCTCCAGACAGACTGTCTTTCCTTCCCTTCTGCTGAACCCCAGATAGGATGAAAACAGATGTGCAGCCTTCTTCCATTCTTCCTGCCCTGTAATGAAGGAGAGACAGCCCAGGGCTCGGGGTGGTCAGCAGACCCAGGTGTCCTCCAGGGCCCACACTGCCCTTCTCCCCAGCCCCAGCTTCCTCCTCTGTAAATTGAGGTGGCTCAGAATGACGCCTTCTTCAGTGCTTTGCCAGCTCTAAAATCTTATCTGAGGATCCCAGTGGTTATGGACTGAATTGTGTCCCCAAAAAATACGTGTTGGAGTCCTAATCTCTATACCTGTGGATGTAATCCTGTTTGGAGATAGGGTTTTCTTTGTTATGTTAATTAGATCATAGCCAAGTAAGGTGGGTTCTGTATCTAATCACTTCTGAGTGATAAGAAGAGTAGATTAGACACAGAAGTAAGCATAGAAGGGTTGGGGGAGGGGAGGGGTGGAGGGAATAAATGCCATGTGATGATGGCCAAAGAAGTGAGAAACTCAGGGCTACAGAAGCTTAAAGCAACAAGGATCTTCCCCCAGAGCTGACAAAGAGAGAGCCTTCCCCTAGAGCCAGTGCCCTTGAATTCTAGCCTCCTGAACGGTGAGAAAATACATTTCTGTTCTTTAAAGCCACCCCCTTGTGGTATTTCTATTACGGCAGCACTAGCAAACTAAGACACCACTACACAGAAAATTTAATGTAAAAAATTCAAATTTATAAAACATAAACCAATGAAAGTATTCTTTACTGACCAACAACAGAAAGATTACATCATAGGGCTTCTAGATCGCCCAAGTGATTTAGAAGCCTGGGTGGCACAAGCGGTTTGTGATAGGCTGCTAACCGAAAAAGGTTGGCAGTTGGAACCCACCCAGCCGCTCCTCAGGAGAAAGGCCTGTCAATCTGCTTCTGTAAAGATTAAACCCAAACCAAACCCATTGCGGTGGAGTCCATTCCAACCCACAGCGACCCTATAGGACAATGATAGAACTGCCCCATAGGGTTTCCAAGGACTGGCTGGTATATTGCAATTGCCAGCCTTTTGGTTAGCACTGGAATGCTTAACCACTGCCACATCTTTCTGCCATGGAACAACTGGTAGGTTCAAATTGCCTACCTTTCGGTTAGCTGCTGGTTAGCAGCCCAGTGCTTAACCACTGTGCCTTAACCACTGCGTAACCAGGGCTCCTCTAGTACACCCTATGGAGCAGTTCTCCTCTGTCACATGGGGTCGCCATGAGTCAAAATTGACTCCCTGGGAGGTAACAACAATGATATGTTAAAAGTTTCAGGAACATATTTTATAGAGCGTATATGAACAGAATCATAGTGCCAAAAGGATCCTCTGAATCACCTATTTGAACCCTTTGTATACTTGGGGAAACCCTGATGGCCTAGTGGTTAAGAGCTACAGCTGCTAACCAAAAAATCGGCAATTCAGATCCGCCAGGCGCTCCTTGGAAACCCTATGGGGCAGTTCTACTCTGTCCTATAGGGTCGCTGTAAGTCGCAATCACTCGATGGCAACAGTTATACTTGGTGTATCTATAAAAAGAAGATGGAGCGGCTAAAAAATGTTGAGGATTAGAAAATGTAATTATTAGTTCAGGAAACCCCGTTAATCCCAAAACCTCAGCTAGTCCTTCAGTAACTCTCCTCTCCTTCCTCAGCGTGTAACTGTAACGGCCACTCTGACCGCTGTCACTTCAACATGACCGCATACCTGGCGAGCGGCGGCCTAAGCGGGGGCGTGTGTGAAGACTGCTGGCACCACACCGAGGGCAGCACTGTGACCGCTGCAGACCCCTTTTCTACAGGGACCCCGTCAAGTCCATCCTGGATCCCTACGCGTGCATTTGTGAGTCCCCAGCTTTGAGTCCTATCCTTTCCACTTGCTGAAGCAAATTCTGATGGGCTACCTGTCCCCACTGCCTAACAGCTCTAGTTTCCGAGAATAACACAAAAACAAACCCGGTAGGGTGGATTCTGACTTATCGTGACCCCCCGTGTGACAGAGTAGAACTACTCCATAGGACTGTAATGTTTACAATAGATAGATCGCCAGGTCTTTCTTCCATGGCTCCACTGGGTGGGTTGGAACTGCCAACCTTTAGTTAGGGAAATAGAGGACTGCCACAAACACTTCGGTTTTAAAAGTCTTCCCCCCCCCCCAAACAAACTGGGCCAAATTATCTAGTTCTGTCCTAGTAATATTGCAGCAGTGGCTGATACTGATGAATCGGGAAATTCTTCCTGGATTCAACCAGCAGGAGGCGATGGTTTCAAAAGATGCAGCAGATACCCTCAGTATCCTGAAGGTCAGCTCAGGGAAGTAGTTAAAGCAGTGAAATTAGCTAAAATATTTGATTTGCTGTAAACAACTCAATTTACCCTGCTTATTTTTTCTCCCTCTCTCTCTTTTTTAACCTTAAAAATATTTTTATTTTACCTTTAATCTCAGCCTTTTTAATGAAATGTTTCAAGCATGCAAGAAGAAAAGAGGATAATATAATAAATACCCTTATACCCATCAGCCGCCTTAACCTTAATTAAATCTTAAGCTTTCCTTTATCCTAATCAAATCTCAAGCTTAGTCAAAACTTAATCTTTTACCCTATCACCTCTAGGACTTTTTTTAATAAAACACTGCAGACCCCATTGATGCACATCTGCCCCATTTACCTACTCTCCTTCCCAGGGATAAAGTCTCAGGTATTTGGCATTTATCCTTACAATGCCTTTCACACTTCCACAAATTTCTGTATCCACAAACAATATACGTTAACATGCTTTCAAACTTTAGATAAATGCTATCATGCCTTGAGCAACCTGACCACTCCATTCAACACAATACTGTTTAGATCTGTCCCTGTCACGTAGCATCAGTTCTTCAATTTTAATTTCTGTATAGAATTCCTTTCTATAAATATGACAAAATGTAGTTGTCCGTTCTTCTTTTGCTGCTGCAGTACACATTCCTGTAAGTGTGGCCTTGTGTACATGCACAAAGACGGGTCCTGGGATATATAAACTAGGAGTGGAATTGCTGAGCCATAAGGTATGCCCTTCTTCAAAGTGGCTGGATAAAACTGAATTGTCCCCTAAGTCACTGGACCAATGAATACTCCCACCAACAGTGTAGGAGAGTTGCTCTGTATTCTTACTGACCTTCATTTTGTCACATTTGAATTTTTGCTTACGTTGGTTTTTCCACGCTTTTATTGTTGCTAATGAAATAGTATCTCATCATTGTTTTGACTGGCATTCCCTGCAGGGCTGGGACTAGGGTGAAGCAAGCAACTGCCTAGGTCCCAAAATTTAACAAAGGACTCACTTTCAAGTTCGTGTATGTGCAGGACTGACACTTGAATGAACCTGAGAGAGTGCCACCTTAAATTTTGCACCATAGGCCTCACTCTAGTCCAGCCCTGCTGTACATTCTTGCATAAATACTCCAGCCTGATTTCAAGTATTCAGTGTCAAGAACTGGGTCTGAGATTTTACCCTACTTGCAAACGAACAAGTTAGCCTGATATTCTTTCATGGCTGCTGGCAGAAGACACTAGACTCCTGAGCCGAAGACAGAAGTCTTTATTACTTACAGCACAGCAAGCAACAAGGGCATTGTGTTGTGTAGGCTGGGGTTTCCCTTTGCTCCCCAAGTCCCATGGGGGTGACACCAAGGATCCCAGGTGGATCCAGCACACCCAGTGAGTTTGTGTCACCACTAAGAAACTCTGAGCTTGGACAAGTCATTGCTTTTATAGCAAGTGGAAGCAAGCCTGCTCTTTGTCTGGAGAAGAGGTGACCTCATGCCTCAATGTTGCTTTCTGAAAACAACCCTGAGAAATGACCGAGTAAATAGCAGTCAGGGCCTTGCATTGCTGGCACGCTCAGCAAGCACGTTCAGGACACTCGGGACCCATGGAGGGTTGTCTGTCCCAATACCCAGAAGTCCTCCTTCTTAGGCTTTATCATTAATGTAAGGGTAAAGGGGAGGGGGGACCAGTATGAAACTGTACCTTCAAACTTTAAATCATCATAAAACGTAAAATAAAATCTTATACAAAAGTAGCTACTGGAATACTTATAATGTCCTAGATTTCAAACTTTAAATCGAGAAAAAGTATAAACGAAGTATTTGCTAAGATTACTCAATAGACGCCTGATTGCATAAAATTTTGTAATCTCTTCAAAACTGATACAAAGAACTGGATTCTCAGAAAATTCCCTTTAAAGCATTCTTTAAAGTAATTTCCTAATTGTCCTACAATTTTTACCAGAACTTATAATTACAAACACATAACATGCACACACACAACCTTTACTAATATTTTAAGAGCTATGTATTTCTAAAAGAAGATAAAATTGCCCTTGGGTGGAATCAAGGAAATGCAATGTTTGAAACAGATAATCTAGGAATCTGGAAAGATGTTTGGAAATAATAATTAAAGCATATGTTTTCAAACACATCAACTGAAGCCTTGTTCCTTAAGAACCACTTAGTATTAACCTTGGTGGTGCTTTTGAAGGAGAGAAACCAAGGACAGAAAATCAGTACCCCTGTCATGAAATTTGAAAGTCATTCTTTGTGAGTAGGAGTTTTTCCATGAAAGAAAAATGAGAAACATGTAACCAACTACCATATTTAGACTCCCCAGCTTCTCCCAGTTTACCTAAAGACACATATGTATACAAATGATGTACCTTAAGAAGACCAATTAACATCCTCACATAAATTTTCTCTAAAATGTCCTTATTTGAATCTAAATATTTATATAAACAGATTCCAGACATAAGAGTTAACTAAATTTAAGTCTTCTATGATTAAAACACAGTCAAATGTGATAAAGAAAAACAAAAATTTGATGGCCTCAGCCATTGATAATAAAATTGCCTGAATTAGATCGTGCGACACTATGAGATTTTATTGGACTTTCATCCCAAAGGGTATGACAGAGGTTTATTTCAAAGTAAAGTTATAATCCACTCACCCATACCCCTCTTCCAAATGATACTTCTGTGCACAATTAAATTATAGTCTGGAACTCAAGGCTGACCGTTTGGGATGTCTTCCCAATAAGGCTGAGTTTTGTCCTTTTGGCCACTTCTAAAATGAATCCAGTTTGTTCCTTCTTTTCAGGAAGCAACTGGATTGAATTAGAAGAAAAGTGTGGTTTTTCTAAACTAAACAGAACCCGATGCTGTTTTTCCGTAGTGTCTTAGTTGTCTAGCGCTGCTAGAACAGAAATACCACAAGTGGATGGCTTTAATAAACAGAAATTTATTTTCTCACAGTTGAGGAGGCTAGAAGTCCAAATTCAGAGCACCGGCTCTAGGGGAAGGCTTTCTTTCTGTGTTAGCTCTGGAGGAAGGTCCTTGTCTCTTCAGTTTATGCTTCCTATCTCCTTGGAGATCTTCATGTGTCTTGGCATCTATCTCACCCTATCTCTTTTGTATCTCAAAAAGATTGACTCAAGATACACCCTACACTAATCCTGCCTCATTAATATAACGAAGACAACCCATTCCCAAATGGAATTAGAACCACAGGCATAGAGGTTAGGATTTATAACACATATTTTGGGGGGACATAATTCAATCCATAACATTGTAGTAAGATTTTATCACCAGTCACTATCCAATAATAAACAACTGAAAATTGAAAGACTCTGATAGACAACTGTTTGCTTCAAAGACACCAAACAACTGGTTTGACTGGATTTTTTCCATTAAGCTCACTACACTAAATGTTTGTTATGTACACACAACTTTTTTTTTAAGGGTTTTGTTTTATTAATCCAGAGAAAACATGTATAAACGTAGACATGAGTGTTTCTTAAAATCAGGATATTCATCTATGTTTATTGCATTCCTTAAAAGTGGAATCCTTTGGAAACACAGCACTACAAAGCTACAAGAGACCTTGGTGGTCGTCTAATTATGCAACCCTAACAGTTTGAAAGTTCTTCCTTACACTGAACTAAACTCTACCTTCTATAACTTCTACCCTCTGGTCTTTTTTGTTCTTCTGTCTGGAATTACTCATACTATCAGCTTGCTTTTTCATTTGACATTCCTTCCTTGAGTTGTGCAAGTCCCTACTAAAAAATTGTTGCTATTTTTTTCTCCTTTTCTACCAGTGAATGTTCCAGAATCTCTTCATCCAAGTTTTTGCTCCACCAGCCAATTTTCAAAAAGAAAACAAGGATTTGAACATTTCTTACTGTCTCCTCCCTTTCTTTCTTGTAGATGTTCCTTCCAGGAAGAATCAAAAAGAATTATAGCATTTATCCTTTTGATGTATTTTTCTGTGATGGGTGTCTTAGTTATCTAGTCCTGCTTTAACAGAAATACCACAAGTGGATGACTTAGCAGCAATTTATTCTCTCATAGTTTAGGAAGCTAGAAGTCAGAATTCAGGGCACTGGCTCTAGAGAAAGGCTTTCTCTCTGTTGGCTCTGGTGGAAGGTCCTTATTCCTTGGCTCTTTGGTGACTTCATGTGGTATGGTGTCTATCTTCTCCCATCTCTGCTCTGCTCACTTGTTTAATCTCTTTTATATCCGAATAAAGATTGACTCAAGATATACCCTATGCTAATCCTGACTCATTAACATAATAAAAACAACTCATTTCCAAATAGGATTATAACCACAGGAAAGAAGTTAGGATTTACAACACATATTTTGAGAGGACATAATTCAATTCATAACAATGGGAAAGGACAGATTTACTTCCTAACCATGTTTCAAAGATTTCATAGACATTTTATGTTGTTGTTGTTGTTTTTTTCTCTCTTTTTTTCTCATGCCCTTTGATGCCTTTACAGGGTATATGTACAGAGAGAGAGAGAGAATCTTGGTGGAACAAATGATAAGCGCTCGGCTACTAACCCAAAGGTCGGCAGTTCAGACCCACCCAGCAGCTCTGCAGGAGAAAAGACCTGGTAATCTGCTCCAGTAAAGATTGCAGCTAGGAAACCCTATGAGGCAGTTCTACTCTGTCATACAGGGTCACTACGGGTAGGAATCAACTCAATGGCACACAACAACATATATATATATATGGAGCCCTGGTGGCATAGTGGTTAAGAGCTCAGCTGCTAACCAAAAGGTTGGCAGTTTGTTCCAAGCCGCTCCTTGGAAACCCTATAGGGCAGTTCTACTCTGTCCTAGAGGATTGCTAGGAGTCAGAATTGACTCAACAGCAGTGGGTTTTATATATATATATAGAGAGAGAGAGTCCCTGAGTGACAAAAACAGCTTGTGCTTGACTGCTAACCTAGAGGTTGGTGATTCAAACCCACCCAGCTGTACCACAGAAGAAAAGTCTTGGTGATCTGCTTCGGTTAAGATTGCAGCCAAGAAAACCATATGGAACAGTTCTACTCTGTAACATATGGGGTTGCCATTAGTGAGAATCAACCCACAGAAACTACCAACAACTATGTAGATAGATACATACATACATACATATATACATACATATATATATAAAGGAGCCCTGGTGGGGCAGTGGTTAATGCACTCAACTGCTAACCAAAAGGTCAGTGGTTCGAAACCACCTGGCTCCTCGGGAGAAAGATGTGCCAGTCTGCTTCTGTAAATATTTACAGACTTGGAAATCCTATGGGGTCACTATGAGTCAGAATTGACTCAGCAGCAGTGGGTTTGGGTATATATATATATGTGTATACAATTCGAAAAACCAAACCCGGTGCCATCGAATCAATTCCAACTCATAGGAAGGAACCCTATAGGACAGAATAGAATTGCCCCATAGGGTTTCCAAGGAGCACCTGGTAGATTTGAACTACCGACCTTTTGGTTAGCAGCTGTAGCTCTTAACCACTGGGCTACCAGGGCTCCTGTGTATATATATATACACATATATACACACACACACACACACACACATACATATGTTGTTGTGAGTTGCAGGGGCCCTGGTGACACAATGGCTAACCAAAAGATCACTGGTTCAAACTCACCAGCCACTCCATGGGAGAAAGATGTGGCAGTCTGCTTCTGTAAAGATTTACAGCCTTGGAAATCCTATGGGGCAGTTCTAGTCTGTTCTTATAGGGTTGCTATGAGTCAGAATCAACGATAAGGCAATGGGTGGTGGGAGGTTATTAGTTGTCGTCGAGTCGATTCTGACTCATAGTGACCCCATGTATGCAGTTTTCAGGGCTGTGACCTTTGGGAACAGCTCACCAGGCCTGTCTTCCAAGGCGCCTCTAGGTGGATTTGAACAGCCAAACTTTTTGGTTAGTAGTCGAGCGCTTAACCATTTGTGCCATGTTTTAGTGCAGCATCCCTCTCTTACCTGTCTCTTGACTTTATTCTCACCTTCAGAATCCTTTTCTTTTTTCAATCTATGGTTATTAACATCCAATTTTTATAATAGCAGTTTTTTTTCTGTTCCTCTTAATTTAAAATCTTTTTAAAATATATATATGGAATTATTCAACATTTTCGAAAGCCAGAGAGATCTAGGAGTCATTTCTGAACAGCCCTTGCTCATCGGTCTAATTATTTAAATGAACTTAATCATTTAAACGAAGTAAGTTAGTTATAGTATGGGTAAAATGCTATGCTTATATTTCAAGTTTCCCACAATTTGCAAATAACTAAGACAATGAATGTGTATGTCTGTGTCTTCAGCTTGTGAATGTGACCCTGACGGGACTTTATCTGGTGGCATTTGTGTGAGCCATTCTGATCCTGCCTTGGCGTCTGTGGCTGGCCAACGCCTATGTAAGAAGAATGTGGAAGGAGCCAAGTGTAACAGGTGTAAGCCCAACCACTATGGACCGAGTGCTGTCAGCGTAAGTCAACATGTGCAGGTCTGCCTACCCGGATGCAATTCAGAGCTTGGGGATGTCTCTGTCGGCCCTAAAATTCAGTAATTGTAAATACTTAAGAAGAGTCCTGCCAGCCTTTGAGTTTTTAAAAATGATACAAAACCTTCTGCAAACTTTAGGGAGTTAGTGGAGAACTTTTCTCAATCGTTTGCTGAATTTATCATAAAAGACCAGCAGGGTACATTCAGATTTTCCCCACTGGAGCAAAAACAAGGGAAAATGCCAAGAAATGTAACGCTGAGTTGCGAAACCTTTAGAAAAATGGCCTCCACCAGGGCTCTCCTGAGAGCTATATGCAAATTCATTAGGTTACGTTATGCATTTCTGCATAGATTGATGACTTTTTAGGCAGTTTTCAAGTGCTGTGTTCTTTTATCTTTTTTTTTTTAATTATTTTTCCCCTTTCTTCTCACATCCCTCCTAGTATTAGTCCATATGTTCTCTGACAAAGAGATTGAAAAACTTAAAAAACCAAGGGAGAGGTTGAGGGGAAATAGAAAGAACCTCAGCAGTTTTCTGAGGCCGAATGGGCAGACTCTTGGCTATAGGATCACAAAAGTTTAGAGCTGCCTGAGGCCTCCTAGAGTTTCAGATTCCTCAGGGAACCTTGGGTAAATCATTTCCATTTGTCACAGAGTCATGCTCCATATTTCTGCCCAGATAAGAACCTGTGGGCTATTTACATGTTTAGAGAGCAACATTCTGAATCTTTCAGTAATAAAATGCCTCTTCATTTTGGGATTGATTGCAAAATTAAATTTCATGACAATGAATTACAGTTGAGCCACTTTCCCTCACACCTTTCCGCACTCGGCATGGATTCTAGAGTTCCCCCTGGTTTAGTGACTAACCTGATGTCCTCGGAGAACAGGCCAACTATTGTTTTTAGTTTTGTCTTTTTTTTCTTTGTTACAGCTTTATTGAGCTACAATTCACGTACCATATAATTCACCCTTTAAAATGTTCAATTCAATGGTTTTTAGCATATTCACAGAGTTGTGCAACTATCACCACAATGAATTTTAGAATATTTGTATCACCCTGAAAAGAAACTCTGTACTCTTCAGCTATCACCCCCAACCTCCACCCCACCCCCAGCTTTAGGCAGCTGCTGATCTACCCTCTATCTCTGTGCAGTTGCCTATTCTGCATATTTCATATAAAGGGAATCATGTAATATATAGTCTTTTGTGTCTGGCTTATTTCACTTAACATAATGTTTCCAAGGTTCTCTCCATGTTGTAGAATGTATCAGTACTTTATTCCTCTTTATGGCTGAATAATATTCCATTGTGTGGATATCCCACATTGTGTTGATCTACTCATCAGTTGATGGGTGTTTGAATTGTGTTCATGAACATTGGTTTTTCTTTCAAGGGAATCAGCAGGGAACATTCTGGTAGCATCATTCCTTAGCCTTCATAACATAAACAGGATTCAGAAATGTCTATGGGTGAAGGAGAAGTAAAGGAGAAAGAGGAGGGGGAGAGTGAAAGGAAAAAGTAATAAGGCAGTAAGAAAGAGAGAAGAGAGAGAGAAATGATGGCTGCATCTGCCAGAGAAGGAGCTGTCATTAACTACCGTGACACTCAATAACCCCTGCCCCTGAGTCACCCAACCTGGCCGGCATCACTCAGATTAACTGTGCCAGGCTCTCCAGCTTGTACGACTTCTTACACTTGCTTGTCTCCTCCTAAATGCAAACCAATAGAACGACAGGAGGGCTCTGAAGGTGTCTGGCACTGGATTTCCTGTGCAGGGTTTATGTAGTACACTAATTGTGCAGCCATTCAGGGAATACACTTGGCAAGGCAGGCTACTCCGTGTTCTTTGAGCCACATGTTTTGCTCAGTGTGAGCTATCAAGGACATTTTCAAACAGTGAAGAAATAAGAATGAGAATAACCATGTATGTTGTACTTTCAGCCTGCAACTGTAACCCCCTTGGGAGTCTGCCATTCTCAACCTGTGATGTGGATACAGGCCAATGCTTGTGCCAGTCATTTGCCACCGGGCCACGTTGCGAAGAATGCACTGTACGTATTTGCCCATGATTTCCCTTTTATATCCAGCAATGTAAAGTTCTACTGCCATGCCCAGAAGAGACTTGGTCTGATTACTTACCTTCCTTATCCTGGTGCTCTATTTCAGTTTGACGCCTGATGAGAATATGTGTTAGAAGCTTTTGGTACTTTGTGATGTGCTCTTTGAGTCAAGCTTATTGGCAACTTTTAAGTGAGCAAAGTTAGTGCTTCCTACACTTGACTGTGAGCAGTCTCGGCATTGGCTGGGGTGGTATGGTGGGAAGAAGAGACTCGGAAGAACTTCACTTCTCATCAGTAGAAAATACATAAATTAGAGCATTGACATCTTACCTCCCAGACCCTGTGGTGAAAGTGAACCCATCCTTCAAGGGCCCTCTCAGCTGCCCTTCCTCCACGAAGCTTTTTCTAAACCCTTGAATGGGATGTCATTGCTCTGTCCCTCCCCATCGCACTTTGACAAGTACCATATTCTGCTTTATACACTGTATCGCCATTATTTGTGTCAACAACATGTCCCCCACACTATTAGACCACATCATGAACTGCCTTACCTTTCTCAGTGGTGATTTTTAAATTAATACAATCTATGAAAATGTTGAATCAGATAAGGTATACCTATCATTATATATGTATATAGAGAGAAGTAGAAGAAGAAAGAGGAGGAGGAGGAAGAGGAAGCAGAGAAGGAGGAGAGAGGTATCAGTATAGTCAAATTGACTTGGACCAGTGCTACTCTACAGCTAGCTCATACTGGCTTGCTAAAGCTGATTATTAACCTTTCAGTTAGTTTGCAAGTCAGTTGTTAAAAGTAACTACCATTAGAAATAAAATTGTAAAACTTACAATTAAATAAATTATGTTTTTAAAAGGTACTAAATGCTGAAACTCATCACTTCCAAATTGTTTTCCTATATTTTGTTATTATCTATGCTCCAAGGTTATTTTTGTTTATTGTATCTATATGGTAGAAATACAATATAATAGTAACCTACTGTTCATCTCTTCCCACATCCTCATTCAGTGACATCATGTTGGTAGCTTGAAACGGGCTATGGTAGGAGTATTTACACTGCGGAAATTAGCAAACACTATAAATCAGCCCCCCTTCTCCGCACTCCAGAGAGGTGGTTGTTAAACATTTACCAGCATACCACTGTATTGGACTGAACCAACCCAGGTACGGATGTCCGTAGGTGTATCCATTGTTTTCCTGAAAGTGCCAAGCAGTAGAATAGAAGAGCATTTATCTGCCTCTTTTTGGTTCACCAGATCATGGGATCTTATTTTTATTTCTAGTACACAATCCCCTCACAATCTCTACCTTTCTCTGCTTAAAAATATTTGGAACAAGGTCCTGGGGGGCGGGAGGGAAGAAGCCCTTAGGTTTAAACATAATGTGGATTCCTGTGGGAAATAAGCATATGAGCATGTATGTTCTAAAATTAGTAGATAAAACATTTTTCACTCCATAGGAAATGTACCATGCAATTAGGGAGTTCAAACCCAATGCTTTTCTTTGTTCTCCAGTCTTGGCAGCCCATCATGACATTTTAGAAAGAAAAAATAAAAACTTAACCTAATAAAAGAACAGTGACTTTGATGTGTCTGAAGAAATTTAGTTGATAAATAAGAAACATATGCCTATTAGGACTTTGTGCAACTATTTTAAGTCATTTTATTGAAAGCGTATTAGGATGGAGCAGGGGGAGGCGGGGGAAGAAAGCAAGGACATAAAAATGAACAAGAGACATTATGTAAGACAAGGCAGATAATCTAGAAGTTTTACATAACAGAGAGAGAGAAAGTGAGCTAGCTCTCAAAATGTTAGGTCAGCCACGGCAAGTGTGATGATCGTGTGTGCGGGACACAAAGAAGAATGTACAGTTGGTTAACAGGATCAACAAAGACACCGAATCAGATCATTCTAGCAAACCTCAAACTCCAGGCTGACTTTTTTTGGGCATGTGGTAAATATATACATACATAACAAAACATTTGACATTTCCACAATCTTCACATGTACACTTCAGTGACACTAATTATGTTTATTATGTTGTTCAGTCGTCACTCTTAACCATTCCCAAATTATACCATCACCCTTAGCAGAAGCTCAGTGCCCCCTAAGCACTGAGTCCTCCTTTCCTCCTCTCACACTCACCCCTGGTAACCACTAATAAGTGTTGGTCTCTGTACACTTATCTAATCTAGATAGCTCATGAAACTGGATCATACACATATTTGTCCTTTTGAGACTGACTTATTTCACTTATCCGGGCTGACTTTTTTCATTGGCAGGTTAATTGTCACATATGCAGTATATAGACTTGATCATGTTTGCTGAGGAAAATAATCAGCTGGGGCAGCCCCATGGGAAACTGTCCCTCATGTCTGAGTCCAGGGCATCCATCAGGTATGCCACATCCACAACTATCACTGGTGCCCTGGACCTGCCCCATGGTGACCAAAATGGTAGCCCACTCTGGCCTAGAGGGAGTTTTCACAACCACATCGTGAGTGAAGCAGTTCATGTCACATTTTTTTCCCCTAAATTCAAGTTTGGTTTTGAAAAAAAATAAAAAATTCTTTGCAACATTTTGTAACAGATTACATCACATTTTAAACATTTAAAATGAATTGTTTTGGGTAAAATTTTACCAAGATAACAAAAAATACAGATAATTTCCAAACTCCCTGAGGGACTCAATTGCTGGGCTAAGGTCTGTGGGGACCATGGTCTCAGCTCAATTGGCATAACATAGTTCATAAAAAAAATGTTCCGAATAGTGTCTGGGGCTTAAAAGCCTGTGAGCGGCCATCTAAGATACTCCACTGGTCTCACCCCCTCAGGAGCAAGGGAGAATGAAGAAAACAAGATACAAGGGAAAGATTAGTCCAAAGGACTAATGGACCACAGCTACCATGGCCTCCATCAGACTGAGTCCAGTACAACTAGATGGTGCCTGGCTACCACCACTGACTACTCTGACAGGGATCACAATAGAAGGTCCCAGAAAGAGCTGGAGAAAAATGTAGAACAAAATTCTAACTTACAAAAAAAGACCAGACTTACTGGCCTGACAGAGACTGGAGAAACCCCAAGAGTATGGCCCCGGGACACCCTTTTAGCTCAGTAATGAAGTCACTCTCAAGTTTCACCCTTCAGCCAAAGATTAGACAGCCCCATAAAACAAAACAAGACTAAAGGGGCACAACAGCCCAGGGACAAGGACTAGAACACAGGAGGGGACAGGAAAGCTGGTAATAGGGAACCCAAGGTAGGAGAAGGGAGAGAGTTGACATGTGGTGGGGTTGTTAACCAATGTCATAAAACAATACGTGTACTAAGTGTTTAATGAGAAACTAGTTTGTTCTGTAAACCTTCATCTAAAGTACGATAAAAAATAAAGAAAAAGAAAAAAATGGATAATTTAATACACCTTTTCCAAATGACAGTTTCATGCCTATTAAAATCTAAATTGTATCTGAGCAGGTTAACTTGAGATTTAAGGGGAAAGTATTTTCTGAGCATTTTAAACTAAGTGTTATCAGATTTTTAAAAAATAGTTGTTTGTATTTTACCAGATGTTATATTGAATAAAGGTCAAGATGTTGCAATGATAAAAATGTGTTGAGCAACGGAGCTGAGTTTCAAGCTGGGGCCACATTATGTCAAAACAACTGGTTTAAAAACTAATGACTCTACTAACCTGTGATATTCATATAACATCTCAAAATCAGTTTCATCGATTTTTTTACCCCAGAACATTTCAGTGTTGTGTAAGTAAAATCCCCAAGGATTCTTGTGGTGAGCGAGCTTATCAGTTTTGTAAAAGCAGCTGGAAACCGACTAGGAGAAGAACTTCTCCTCAGATGACCTTAAGCAACCCAGCTTGAGGATAAATTGGTTCTGTCAGAGGAACCATGTGGCTCCCATTGCATCTCCACACAGACAACTCTCCTGTCCCCTTCACTTCAGGCCCTGGGGATGGGAATATGTGTCCGCACAGACTGTTACCAAGGGCACAGACGAGAAAAGCCACTGTGTGATTGTTCAGGTTGTTTGGCTTTTTGGTATGTGTCGATTCAGTTGTAGTGATTTTTTTTTTAATTTTTATTTTTTTCATTGTTGTAGTTTACACGAAGTTTACATTTCAAGTTAGTCTCCCATACAAAAATTTATACATACATTGTTACGTGACCCTAATTGCTCTCCCCATACTGCGACAGCACACTCCTCCTTTCCACCCGATTCCCCATGTCCGTTCAACCAGGTCCTAACCCTCTCTGCCTTTCCATCTCACCTCCAGACAGAAGCTGCCCGTTTAGTCTCTTGTATCTACTTGAGCTAAGAGGCACATTCCTCATGAGTATCACTTTATGTCCCACAGTCCAGTCCAATCCCTGTCTGAAGAGTTGGCCTCGGAAATTATTTTATTTCTGGGCTGATAGAGAATACAGGGGCCATGCTTGCTGGGGTTCCTCCAGTCTCAGACCATTAAGTCTGGTCTTCTTACTAGAATTTGAGTTTGCACTCCACCTTTCTCCTGCTCCATCAGGGACTCTTTGTTGTGTTCCCTGTCAGGTGGTCATTAGTGGTAGCCGGACACCATCTAGTTCGTCTGGTCTCAGGCTGATGAAGTCTCTAGTTTAGGTGTCCCTTTCTGTCTCTTGGGCTAATACTTTCCTTGTGTCTTTGGTGTTCTTCATTCTCCTTTACTCCAAGTGGTTGGGACTAATCGATGCATTTTCGATGGCTGCTTCCAAGCTTTTAAGACCCCACACGCCACTCACCAAAGTAGAGGATGCAGAACATTTTCTTGATCAGCTTTGTTATGCCAATTGACGTAGATGTCCCCTGAAAGCATGGTCCCCAGACCCCTACCTCTGCTACTCTGTCCCTCAAAGTGTTAGATTATATTCAGGAAACTTCTTAGCTTTGGTTTAGTCTAGTTGTGCTGACTTCCCCTGTAGTGTGTGCTGTCCTTCCCTTCACCTAAGATAATTCTCATTTACTATCTAATTAGTAAATAACCCTCACCCTCCCTCCCCACCCTCATAACCATCAAAGAATGTTTTCTTCTGTGTTTAAACCTTTTCTTGAGTTCTTATAATAGTG